AAAAAATACAGGTGTCCTTGTAACCACAAGAAGTCATTAGCTTTTGAGAAGGCTCATTTAGAACCAAGATCACCTATGGGCATGTTAGCATTTTAGACACCCCAAAATGTGGCCAGCATCTTTGTTATGCTTTTTACCCTCTCTTGACCAGATTCTGAAAATAGGAGGAAATATTTGGAGAGGTAATAATCACATGCGTGTGTGTGTGTGTCTCTGTGTGTCTGTGTATGTACGTGTGTGTCTGTCCGTCTCTCTGTATGTATGTGTGTGTCTGTGTCTTACTCTGTCTATGTATCAAAAGAGGGAGAGAGAGATACAGACTCCTATATAACACATACATACATAACTGTTATTTCCTCAAATATGAGAGAAAGAGTAAAGTACCCAGATCTATGAAGAAGACACTGTGCCAAAAGTCTAATATCTCAGTTTCCATTGAGATGAGCGCAGTGCTTTAGGCTAGGAGCCTCCAAATGCCTACAAAGTTGGCATTTGAATATCAATTACTGAGGCCAGGCCAGTGTTCTGGGTGTTCAGTGTTCAGTGGAGGGTGGTAGGATTATGAAGAACTGGAAGGCTCTTGCCCAAATTGGGGAGGTCAGCAACCACTTACCTTCAGTTCCCTGTTGCTCTTATAGGATGCCATTCCATTGTTGCCAGATTTTCATATCTCAATCAAACTGGAAAAAATATATAAGCAAAAAAACCTTAAAATTAAACACAAAATGGTGGATGTCTAATTCTTCCATCCCAACCTCAGCTTCATCTATTCTATAAAACTTGGACTTTCTTGTCATTGTCGGTAAAATGTATACACTCTCCCTATCCCAGCTATACTTGATTGTTTAAATCCTCAGTCTCCCCTCCTTCCTCACCCCCATGTATCGTTATTTTAGTTTCTGAAAGAAAACCAATGAATCAGTACACATAAGCTGTGGGTAATGTTGATACCACATGCAAATGATAAAATAACATCTCAAATCTGCTTTTGAGCTTCTCTCGTAATTTTATCACTTCAGCTATTCTTATTTCCAAGTCCAGATTTTCCCTTTAGTTTTAATTTTTAAATGATTATCTCCTTATGAACATTCTCTATTTAATGCGTTGTTGTCATAGTATTTTTGTTATTATTTGAACATAGCTTATTTCATTCTTGAAGTTATTACATAGTAATTCCTCCTTATCCACGTGGGATATTCCAATCCACAGATGCCTGAATCCGCAGATAGTACGGAGCCCTGTATATACTAATTTTTTTGCCTGTACGAGCAGACCTATGATAAAATTTAATTTATAAATCAGGCACAGTAAGAGATTAACAATAGAATAAAATAGAACAATTATAGCAATTTACTGTAATGAAAGTTATGGGAATGTGATCTCTTTCAGCAATCTAGCATAAATTTATTTTTCCTTCTTTACTATTTTACAGATAAAAGAGTCATTTCTTACCATAGATCTTCAGTGTGTGTGTGTGTGTGTGTGTGTGTGTGTGTGTGTGTGTGTGTGTGTTTGTGTGTGTGTGTATTATTGAGTCAAGAACTTTCACCTTTTCATTTAAAGGAAGCACTTCACAGCTTCTCCTTAGCATTTCCAAACTGCCAGCATTTGTACTCTTGTGTTTTGGGGCCATTTTGAAGTAAAATAAAGGTTACTTGAATGCAAGCAGTGGGATACCTTGACAACCAATCTGGTAACCAAGAGGGCTCCTGAGTGACCAACAGGTGGGGAATGCAGCATGGGGACCCTGCACAAAGGGATGCCATGTCGGAACAGGACAGCATGCCATTTCAGAATGACACACAATTTAAAACTCATGAATTGTTTATTTGTGGAATTTTCCATTTACTGATTTCTGAGCACAGATGACTGCAGGTAACTGAAACTGGAAAGAGACACCGTGGATTAGATGAGACTAGTGTACTGCTTTGAAGCTAGCCCACTGCGAAGGCCATATTTTGCTCATATTCCTGTTAAATTTCCATGTCTGGCTCTTTTACTAGTCTTTTGCTTGCTGTCATCAGGATTGTAACTTCTGGTTACCTTCAGTATTGGCCTATATGCATAATAATACTTAGATGGATTACGAATGAGGAGACCATCCTTTCTATAATAACATGTGCCACATATTATAGTTAGAGAAACACAGGTAAATTATCAACCAAAAACAAACGAACAAACAAAAAACCTTAATATTTTACAACCCCTTTGAAACTTTGACCTCTGTTTAGACCCTAAATGCTTTATTGAAAAATAATGTGACTTTTGAAAACGAGGATAATCAGCATTCTTTCAAATAAAGTTTTGAAGTTTGCTGACTAACAGTGACGCGGCCCACCTCCCCTTTCTTTGTGAAAGCATCCTAACACCAAACATGGAGGTAGAGCTGCTCAATTAGTGATTATCAAATGAATGGACGAATCTGTGTTCTGAAAACAGGTCACTAATCTGTTGAATTAGCCAAATTCATCTGGCTCATACATTATATTTGACAAACAGTATAGTTTCGAAATTTGGTAATGTTGAACAGTTCTTTCCCCACATGACATCAAACACTGTAGCTCAGGCTAAGGAGACTGTGTATATACTGTTTTCCAATGTCCCCAATGCTTCCTTTAGTATCATATTGGGTCTACTTGTCACATATATGTTATTTTCCAGCAATAGACCTTGTGACTCTGAGTTATCTTTTAATGTGTTACTATCTCTGAATGAAAGGTCTGTCCCTTATCACCTGCAGCCATCCTCAATGCTAAAGTGCCTGATAAATATTGAGTCATCCTTGAAAACCCAGCTCAGCCAACACTTTCATGTGAACACATCCCCCATACCTTTCCAAAGTATAAATCCCCTATACCACGGACATTTATTGGTAGTTGTACATGTTGTATGAAATGTTGTAACTTGAGATTCCCTTGGATTCTCTATAAAATTAGGAACTTTCCAGGAGTGTACTGTCATCTTTATCTCTGTAACCTCAGTAGCTACCACAGTAGCTGATGGATTCTGAGTCTCAAATGTTAGTGTTTAAATGGCGAACAACTCATAGGGCTGGAAGTATACCCCAAGTCTGCTGACCTGGGGTCCAGGGCCACTTCATTTCCTCTTGAAGAGTGGCAAGGTACTCCTGTTATGTGTCTCTTAGCATATTATACTTTTATCACAATAGTTATATTACTATGTTTGCCTGATTCTCTCTCTTCTGTCCCTATCAGAGCTGTGATTTCCTTAAGGAAAAGGACTCCAAAATATTTACATTTACATCCATATCATCAAGCACAATACTTAACACAGGGTAGAGACTCAGCAAATGTTAGTAGAATTTAGCTTAATTAAATGAAGTTAACATTTGGAGTTAATTTATTTGACTGAATTTTTACTATAATGTAATCAAGTCAGATAATTGCTCTTATCGGTCACAGAGCTGGATAGATTTTTAGAAAACTCCAATAAACAGGTCCGTGAAATTCCAACAGATGGTCAACAGTCATGCCAAGTCCACCCTTATTTTGATTCCTTAGATAATTATTAAGGTGAGCCTTGACATGGATGTAGCTTGATAGTCAAAATAATCATCATCCACTACATTCATTTTTATGAGAGCCAAGGAATCAAATCAATGGTTTAGCCAGTTTACGTGGACAGTTTTATTTGGATTGAATAAGTCAAGTTAGTTGAAGGATTTTAAAATTAATGATTTTGCCAAGTCCTAAATAACTAATTAGGAAGATGCATGTTTTATTTGTAGAAAGACAATTTATTTTCACCTGGCCGCCATTGACAAAGAAAGATTTTGTCTCACAGGGTCTTGCCTGTAGAAAACAGGTACAGTGTTATGCCTATTGTTGAAATCATTTTTCTGTTGTCTTTCAAGTAATTATAAGGATTCTGTACTTTCTTCTGACTTGGTGGTTGCAGAAACATCAAGGCATGTAATAGCCCCAGGGGAGCTTTTATATAAAACTACAGTGCTCAGACTCCTCCCCCAAAACAATTAAACCAGAGTCTCTGCGGAGTAGTTCAGAAAACACATTTGCTGCAATTAACTGTAGATATGAACAAAGTTTACTGTCATTTAAGCATTTTGATTTTGTTCTGTTAATGTTTTATACATTCTTATTTGACATACTACTGGTAACCTGGCAGATACCAGGTGTTACTAATTCTTTTTTTAAAGTTATAGTTTAGGATAACTTAACATGATAGTTCAGCACCATCCTATTGATACATCTTCAAGAATCTTCTGAGTAGCCTAGATTCCTGCTAGCACTTGGCTCTTTCAGGTGCTCCTGCCTGAAAATGTTTTAAAACGGGGCAATGGCAGGTCCTATTGACCATATGAAAAGAGAGTCAAGCATCCCATCTTGTTATTGAATAATGTTAGCTTTATTATTATAATCGAATACAGTATGACATAAAATTAAGAGCTTTTGCTAAACTCTGTAAAGCAAGACATGCATCTGCCATAAACAACCTCAATTCATGTTAGGTTTTATTGCCACTTCACTGCACTAAGGTGCAATAAACATTCAGTGTCATCTTTTAAAAAATATTCCCGGGAGTAAACAGTAACTGTCCTCTATAAGAGTGTGTTTCAAGGAAGACTTAACTAGTATTACATGGTTTAGCAAAGCACTGTAGAAAAGATACATAGAATAATTTGTCTTTGATAAATTGTGCAATCAATTTATACAATAGAATACTACCCACATATACTAACAAACTAGGAAATGATAGAAATGCAGTCATTGCATAGCAGAAAGCAGACTAGTAAATATTCACATCTAATGAGCAGAATACAGACCAAATGTTAGCCATGAGGAGTCTGGAAGATAAAATGTTCTTAATAAACACATTAGGTTAACGCCGAAAAATAACAAGATAAACAGCAACACAGTAGTTAGAGCCATATTGTATTTTATTTTCTATACATGATATCTACACAAGATACCGGAGGATGAAACATCCTTGGTTCAGCCTTTGTTGGCCTAGCTCATCGAACTTAGGCAGGACCAAATCAAACAATAAAGCACATTTAAAAAGAAAGCCAGAGTTTGTTTAGGAAAACGCAGTGCATTCTCCAACATCATTGGATAGCAGCTTTTTGAGAAAAAAACATTGCTCCAAGCTTGCGTATGAATCCCAACTGTCATATTTGGCAATTATGCTGATAGGCTTATGTTGTAGTATTTTAAATGTATTTGGACCATGACCTATGGATTCTGGATGCTAATTTTAAATATCTCTGTAACTCTATCAGACAAGAGGAGACTTCAAAAATACCTTCTGCATAAATATTTATCTCTAAAACATCTGGGAAATAGTGAAACAGACTAGAATTTTCATAGGGAGTATTAATGGACCACTTGCAGTTAAAGCCCTTACATAGGATACCTACAAATATATTGCTACAGTATAAATAAAATCTAATATTACTCAATAAAAGCTATTCTGTACATTCTTTCATATATTTTTTTAATTTAATGCTACATATGGTACAACACTTATTGAAATAGTTGGTATCAGCAAAGATAGCAATAATTTACAGTTGATTTTCTAGCTCCCACTAATGCTTTCCATTGTCTTTCTATATTACAAGAGCCTCAAATAGGGACATGTGGCATAACGTGAGCACATAGAAACCGATTTGCTGCTGTCCACTGGACCATAGTTTGAAATGGTGAGCTTTCCTTGTGTCAGTGGACTTCATACCCATGTATCTTTAGTCCCATCAGATCCCTGCAAGCTGTCCTCGTCTTAAGCGCAGGCTCTAAAGGTATTTCCATAGCACTTAACAACATTCTAACAGCTAAGAGCGGTGAGTCTTACACAATATTTTAAGAACACAACTTAAAAAAAAAAAGTAAAAAATGTACAGTCTCATGCTGTATATTTACATGTATAATTTATATATTCTATTTTTACTAGTCATAAATTTCAATCTAAAGCTTTTAATGTACTGTTATATAAAATAATACATTCAACAGTTCTTCAGCTTGCAAAATATTTTTGCCCCTCTAAAAACATCTTCATGATGAGAATCAAATGATTATTGGACCCAGGTGCTGTCTGGAAATAGACAGTGGGAAAGGGAATCTTTTTAAAATTATTTAATTTTATTATTACTTTTTTTTTTAGTTTTTATTGAGTGTATATCTCTGTTAAAATGATTATCAAGACTAGGGATTAAAAGCTCAGATGATTGCAAAATAGCCTATTTAAAGCCTTTCTCTCCATTGGATTAAATGTGCTGTACAGTGAGGAAAGGCTCCTTTGCCTGTGCAATGTCCATGAAATTTAAAATAGCATTTAGCAACAAAACAACATTCGGCATTTGTAAAAGGAAACAGGATAGGGAATTTTAGCTTTGGAAACAAAATGTGAAAGTTACACCTCAGTTTAAAAAACAAAATGTATGCACACCATAGTTTGTGTAATAAAGACATCAATTCTTGAAAATTTTTCTGCATTAAACATTTATAATTTATTCTTTTAAACACCTTCACATAAAAATATTTTTGACATATACAGTATCTTCTTTTTTTTTGTTTTTTTAGAATATTTGGAAATATATATCTACAGATGACCTGGAGTTACAGTTGTTGTTTTTTTTTCCTTCTACTTTTCCTCACATCTTTGGACCTACTTCCTCCTCCTTCCCTCCTCTTTCTCGTTCTGTCTCCTTCTGTTGTGATTTTGTGCGCGCGCGCTCTCTCTCTATCCCTCTCTCCCTCTCTCAGAATCCCATCTCTCAGCTGGATGCTCTGCTCTGCTCTGAACTGCCAGTCAGGGGTCTGTTGTTCTTGTATGAATTATGGAAATAAGGAAACCTTCACATTCTTTAAGACAGAGGCAATAAAGCAGATGGGAATCACTGCGTTGAGAACAGAAAGCAATTCCCAGTGTAGAGGACGGAACAACAGAATGTGAACAGAAGGACCTATTGATGCGGGGTGGGGGCTTTTAGCTGAGGCTCTCTGTTTAAATATGTGGCCCAGTAGACCAAGTTAAAGATTCCAAATAGCAGTGGGAAGGCTATTCTTGACAGCCGGTCAATTTTGCTGACGCTGTTAAAGGTTTTCTTGGGTTCTGGTGGTTTTGTTTCTGGCTTGACTTCTTTCGGTTCTATGGTTGCACTTTTAGCAATGGTGGCTAAGCCAGGGTCACCCCTGGCCAAATTAGGGGTGTAGCTGGTTGCTGTGGGAGCATAAGTGTTGTTTTTCTTAATAAGAGGATCCTTCACTTTCTTTGGCTGTAGAGGAAAGAGTAAAAGCATTTAGTTTAGGAAACGGTGAGAATCAAGTTTCAAAATTGCTGGGCAGAGGGACCTTTACTTTGGAATCCAAATCTGTGCTTTATTTAATATCTAAGAAATGTCATTTATTACTATATTATTGGGATAAATTAAAAATGTAGACACCAACATCCAGTAATAAGATTAACAATTTGGGGGATCCAATGTGCAGCATGATGATAACAGCTAATAACCCCATATCATATATGTGAATGTTACTGAGAGTATAGAGTTTTCAATTTTTTTCTTATTTCTCATATTGCAATTCAATATTGGCATTCAATATTTTATATTAGTTTCAGGTGTATATCATAGTGGTTAGCCATTTATATAATTTACAAAATGATACCCCTGATGAGTCTAGTACCCACCTGGCACCATACATAGTTAATTACAATATTATTTACTATAATCCCTATGCTGGACTTTACATTCCTGTGACTGTTTGAGAACAGAGCTTAAAAGCCCTCACCACAAAAAGAAATGGTAACTAGGTGATGGGATGGAGATGGTAGATAATGCTATGGTGGTAATTAATTCACAATATGTAAATGTATCAATCAACCACATTGTACACTTAAAACTTACCCAATTATATGTGTCAGTTATATCTTGATAAAGCTGGGAATATATGCACAAAATATTCCCCAGGCTTTCCTATCAAAAAGTGGAGTCTATTTCCCCACCCATTGTATGTACAAATGGACCTGTGACTTGAGCGCGAGTGATGCTGTTCCAGCTTAGGAGCCTCACCTCCAGAGGCTTTTCAGCCTCAGCCTTGACCCTCTGGGAAACATGCCACTGCCAAGTGAAGAAGTCTCAACTAGGCTACGGAATGGCAGAGACCATGAGCACTGAGAGACTCAGCCCGCATCAGGCCCCACATGTGAGAGAGGCCATTGTGAACCTTCTCACCCTGGTGGAGCCTCTGTTTAGCTGCAGCCACGTGAGCGAGCCCAGGTTAGACTAATGAAGTGCCACCAGGCTCTTCCCAGCCCAAATGCTTGGCTGTTGTTTCAGCTCACTAATTTTGGGGGTGGTTTTCTTTTTTTTTTTTGCAAAAATAAACTGCTGAGCCAAGTATTATTTGCTCCTTCTCCCCCTGTGTCAGGTGGGCAAATAATAAAGCAGGGTCATTCAGGATACCCTAGATCCAGTTCTTGCTCAGTGGTAGCTGCTTATCAACATTATCTATGCAATAATCAATGACTGCGGCATTTCTTAGGGCTTCTGTCCTATAGACATTTCCAATGCATCGCAGGCCTGGCTCTGGTACCTGTGGGCTGTGGTAGTGCAGCCCCCACAGAACCTCCTTTGCCTTTACTCATGTAGCTCACTGGGGTGTGGAACTGATTCATCTGTGGCTGAGGGGCAAATCTAAAAGAGCCTTTACTTGGCAGCATATTTCCTTTCAGATATATAAACGGTACATCTTACAAGCAGTAACACTTTAGATCCTATTAAACATGGTCGATATTTCCACCACAAAGGATTCTCTCTCCTAGTCCATTTGTGGCGTTGTGGGAACACAGCGTTAATCTGATTTCTTTACAGTAGAGCCTCTCAGGGTGTTGAACGTACTGTTGTTGCTCTTTGATAGTTTTCAACACCATTCAAGTGCATGTGACCACATTAATTGTATTTTCAGGGATGGTCACAAGAGAACAGTGGAACAGTGTTTTTGGAAAGCTGCTGCAGAGCGGCTCCTCCTGGATTCCTTCTCTTCTATGTCTTACAATCTCTGCGTCTCTGCCTTTGCTCTTCTTCTTACCATCCTATGGCTCACTTGCGTTCTGACGTGTTTTCCCCTCAAATCTCAGAAGTATAAAGGCCCTCCCCAATTGTGCTTTAAAATACACTCTAAAATCGGTTGTAATTGAGAAGAACAGTGGAATACTGACTTGATAATTTTCCACAGTGAAGAATTGTTCTGTGATTTCCATGTGTTACCATATCCTTAAAGCAAACATGTATTTTGGAAAGAGAAAAGGTCTCCTGCCCTTGGGTTCACTGATAATAGGAGGTA